ACAGCCCCGGGACGCTTAGCTTCTGCTGGTTTCATCCTGCCTTCTCGTAAGTCGTGTTTGTCATAAGGCAGGGGAGAGAAATGGAGATCCGTCTAGGTGTGGAACTTGGAGCCGACTCGTCTAAACCCATAGTTTATATTGGAGCAGCCCTGAAGCCACGAGTCAGTCAGGATGCCTGGGTTCTAGTCCCACCTTGAGGAAGGGAGTGTAGCCTAGTGGACTGAGCAGAGGACTGGGACCTGGAGCTTCCTCCAGGAAGGAAGCATGGGAGACCAGCTGCCATAGACTCTTGGGGTACATCTACAGTCATAGGTGTGGAGCTAGGGGTGCTGGGGGCGTTGCCGCGCCCGCTGGCTTGAAGTGGTTTCCATCATTCCAGGGTTTGCAGTTTGGTTCAATGGCTCTCAGCTCCCCCACTGCACACATGGGTCCAGCTCCCCCATCTATACTGCAATAAAACCCCTAGCTGCGGCTGACCGGACTTGGGCTCGCCGGGCTGTAGACATTCAAGCTCGGGCTAGAGCCCAGAATCTGAGACCCTGTAAAGGGGGAGATCTCAGAGCCTGGACTCCAGCCTCGGTGTCTACCCCCTGTCATTTTTAGCCCCATAGCCTGAGCCTGCTAATCCAGGCTCTGAGGGTTTTTTATTGCTGGGTAGACATACCCTTAGGGTCCATCCCCACTTCTGGGAGGGAGCGTAGACTAGAGAGATTAGAGAGGTGGAAGGGGCATGCCAGAACATCACCTTCTATTTGCAGCTCTGGACGGGAGCATTGTCTAGTGGTTAGAACAGGGGGGAACTGAAATGTGTTTTCTTCCCAGGTCTGGGAGAGGGTGTGGTCAGAGCAGCAGCAAGGATTGATGATTTCTGGGTTGTAGAACGGACGCTGGGCTCCGTTCCTGAGACAGTATTGTCTAGCAGTGAGCTCAGAACCTACGTCAGGACTCCTGAGTGCGGTTACTGATTGTGCTACTGGCTGGGTGTATCATCCTGGGAGCAAGTCACTTACCATCTCATCTTCAGAGGTGCAGAGCACACGACAGCCCCCGTTAGCTAGCACTTGTTACGTGATTGAAATGGAAACGGTATCTAAGAGCCGAGTGGACGTTTTCACCTGGCACGCAGACCCTAGGGCAGCAGCCCTTGATCAAAGTAAGAACAAGGGATGAATGGGCAGGCAAAGAAAACACTGGAGACCTGTGGAAAGAACCACCCCCTCCTGATCAACCCACATCAATGACAAACAAGGAAAGGAGGAATTAACCTCACATGACTGCAGCCCACTCAGATATCACGGCAGCAAGAATGGCAGTGGGATCTAGTGGAAAAGGCACTGCCATGAGAGTTAGAAGAGATGGGTTCCGTTCCCAGCTCCGCCATGTAACCTTGGCGAAGTTACAGTCCCTCTCTCTGCCTCAGTTTCCCCACCTACCAGTTGGCTATAGTGACTGTTAGCTCTTTGGGGCAGGGACTGTCTCTCACTAGGTGTCTGTGCAGCACCCACCTATTTCCAATAGTTTAAGGCCAGACGGGACCATTAGATCATCTAGTCCAGGGGCTCTCAACCTTTTTCCTTCTAAGTCCCCCCGCAACATGCTATAAAAATTCCACGGCCCAGCAGTTCCACAACCACGGTTTTCTGCATATAAAAGCCAGGGCTGGGGTTACAGGGTATCAAGGAGGGCAATTGCCCAGGGCCCCACACCATAGGGGCAACACGTAGCTAAGTTGCTCAGGCTTCGGCTTCAGCCGCAGGTGGTGGGGCTCTGGGCTGCAGTCCCGCATGGTGGCACTTCGACTTTCTGCCCTGGGCCCAAGTGAGTCTAACGCCGGTCATGCTTGGCGGACCCCCTGAAACCTGCTTGCAGCCCCCCAGGAGGCCCAAGACCCCTGGTTGAGAACCACTGATCTACTCTGACCTACAGTGTAACACAGGCCATTACGTTTCACCCACGTTCCCCTACATTGAGCCCAATGACTTGAGCTCAGCTAAAGCATTTCAGTCCTCAGGAGACTAAATGAATGTGTGCCCCAGGCAGAGAACAGGCGAGACCGAGGTGCACCAACGGCCCAGGCCCCTGCAAGGGAAGGGAATCAATTAGGTGAAGTGACCTTGCATGGGATCCGCCTAGCACAAGGAGGCTTCTAGATGCTGCTGCAATACGGTAAGAAGACCCTGAATAGAAAAGGAAGGAAGCCACTTGCAGGCTGCGGTGGGCTTTATTTTGAGTTCAGCATCCAAGCCAAGGTGAAGATGTCAGTAAAGAATAATCCAGCCCTTGACAGACACATGCTTAAAGATGCTTGAAAATCCACCCATCTGCCTGGCTATTTCAAAGGGAGGGAGAGACAGCCTGACCTGCCCTCGCTTGCGTCGATCGTTTAATGACCGACAATAGCTCACGGTCCGGTCCGTGCAGAGCAGTGTGTGGGTGATCAGCTGGCCAAGAGAAGGGACAAGTCACCTGCATTAGTGATGCTACAGTTTGGTTGCTTTACACACACTTTAAAACCCACTTGTTCTTTCAAGTGGCCGGACCGGTTGGCTGCTTAGCCTAACCACAACAGGGTGCTTCCAGCCAGTACTTGCATGCAAAGGAAATCTAGTGAGAGGTCCTTGCACCCTGCACCTCATGCAGTCACGACACCAGTGCCACGCGGTGTGGAGACGCTGCCTTCTACCGTCGCAAATGACTACCCAAGACACAGGGCAATGAAGGCGACAGAAATAAAAGAATTGCTGAGAGAGCAGGGAGGCAGTGAGACCTAATGGATAGGGCATGAGAGCGGGAGTTAGGAGACCTGCGTTCTGTTCCTGCCTTGGCCACTGGCCCACAGGGTGACCTTGGGCAAGTCACGCCCCCTGTCTGTGCCTCTGTTTACCCATCTGTACAATAGGGATAACAACGCTGACTTTTGTCTGCAAGGGGCAAATGAAAAATGGCTATCAGAGAGGGAAGATTTATGATCTAACACACCACTAGACGGTCCCAATATCTGATTTGTGCTGTCCTTCGATTGTAAATTCTCCAGCGCAGAGATCGCCTCCTCCTACGTGGATGTAAAGTGCATAAGAGAATGGGTCCCTGACCCTTGACTGCAGCCTGTCGGTGCTACCTCAATACAAATAATGTTTGATTAATAATCATTAATATTATTATTAAGTTGAGAGAGACCACCTTTGTCCTGATACATAACTTTTGCCATTTCATGCTACACAAGCTCATTGCTGTGTTATTCATTAATTGGTTTGATTTATATGAGCGTAGTACCTGAGAGCCCCAGTCACAGACCAGGACCCCATGGTGCTAGGCGCTGTACAAAAAGACGGTCCCGGCCCTAAGGTGCTTACAATCCTAGGATCTAGCCTGAGTCCAGCAGTATCCCAGATCCTCGCGATCATTAACAGATTATGTAGATTATGTAACTAGCCTAAGTCATAGAAGGAAATCTATGGCGGGAGCAGGAACTGGGCCGGGTTTTTATGGCCCTGCATAGGACACTACCCCATAGAGTCAGTAGGAATTATTTTGGGGAAAGTCTGTGGCGTGGTGTTATCCAGTTGGTCAGACCAGGTGATCACAATGGGCCCTTCTGGCCTTCGAATCTAGGACCAGTCCTTCCTTAGTTTAACTCCATTGGTTCCAACCGGCCTGAATTTATCCCAGTTCCGTCGCTGCCACCGTTTTTCTATCACCTTTTTCTCGCGGCTCTGAGAGCAGGGCACAAAGCAAGCCAGACACTCTTAACACATGGCTACGGATGAGGTGGTCTCCATGGCAACCATTGCCATGCAACAGCTCTTCGACTTTTCTTCCCTCACGCGCCGGGTTTTTATGCCGTTCGGTGCAAGTGGAGGCAAGAAAAGCCACTACGAATTGCCCCGGCAGGTTGACTGGCGAGCGCTCGCTTGTGTCAGAGATGCTGGCGGCTCTGTACAACTCCGACTGCTTTATCCAGACCGTCTCCAAAGATATGTCGCAACCGTTCTCCAATCACTAGGCACGGCCCTGCTGTGCCAGCGCCCCGACCCAAACCATTTTTATGACAGTAGCGTTGGAGCGCTCAACAGTGTGACTACCTCACTTGTAAAATGGGATTGTCCTACCTCAGATGGCAATGGTGGGGTGCTTAAATACTCCAGTGATGGTGGCTATAGAAGTCTGAGAGATACAGAGGGGCAGTGACTCACCCATGGCCACGCAGCAAGTCAGTGGCGGAGCTGGAAGCAGGCTCTGGCTCTCCCGAGTTCCATTCCAATCCTACTACACCACATCCCCCATGGACTACAACTGGGATTGCGAATGGGTGGAGGGGCCTCTTTGTAAAGCACGTTGAGATCTCTAGCTGCCATGCCCTGTAGAGAAGGTATGTGTTATTGATATGGCCCTCTGGGAATCTGGCAGAGTAAGGCAAAGGTTAGATCTGATCCAGACGTCCAGGATTCCACTCCGGGTTTTTGGTTCAGGCCTTGACTTCCCAGCCTGCACTTGAAATTTGCCTCCCAAGAGGCAGAATGGGCTTGCAGTTAAGGCACCGGGCTGGGATTCAGGAGATTTGGGTCCAATTCTTTGGACTCCTCGTGTGACGTTGGGTAAACCATCCAATCTGTCTGCATCTCACTGCCCCACATGCAAAGTGGGAAGAGCTGTTCTTTTCTTGGCTGTTTCGATTTTAACCTCGCTCACTGTGCGGTCCCGCCACACCTCATGCAATGGGGTGCTGACTTCAGTTGAGACATCTAGGCGCTACTGGACACCAAATATTTGTACAGTTCAGAAGAGACCTATATAGCCAGCCCACCGGCTTGAGGGGCCTGGGGCCTTTAAAGGGTGCCCAATACATAACCATCAACCCAGGAAGGTGATAGAGCTTTGGTGAGTCCCTTCTGCAAGGCACACAGCAAAGCACTTGGGCTATGGAACCTGTTAGAGAATGCAGGAAGCAGAGAACTCCAGAATCGCTTCTCCCCCCATCTCGCTATTATACAAGTATGACTATCACAGCAATTAACAGACATGCCAATTAAATACAAGCAGGTGCTGGTTAACTCTGCACTGAGTAATTCATACCCGACTCGAGCTAAATTGCTTTAAATTGGAGAGACGGGCGAAGGAGCCGAGTTTGCAATTGGCAAAGGGGAGAGGAAAATCATCTCCGCTGGGAAATATTTTTGCACAAGCAGAGGTGCTTAGGAATCTGGGTCCACTTGATCCAATCCCCCCAGGATTAGGGAGCAGGCAATTCAATGAGACGGTTTGTCTCTCATCCAAATCTCTTAGTACTGGACAGTGGATTGTATGGAAAAAAGTATTTCCTTTCAGCATTTTTTAATTCACCACCTTTCGATTTCACTGCTCTGATGCTACAAGACACGGTGAATAGAAATTCCACATCCACTTTCTCTAGACCATTCATTATTCTGTACATCTCATCACTTTCCAAACCAGAAGGCAAATAAAAACCTAAGTTTTATTTATGTTTAAAAGCTCATTATTTTTAAGCCAAACTCATGATTTGATGGCGGGAGGGGATTGACTTGGTTTTTTGGAAGTTTAGAGCTGACAACACTGGAACAATTCCTATCTTTGCAGTCCCTCTTCATGGGAGCTTTTCCATGCTCCTAATCCAGGGGTAGGCAACCTATGGCATGCGTGTCGAAGGTGGCACGCGAGCTGATTTTCAGTGGCACTCACACTGCCCGGGATCCTGGCCACCGGTCCGGGGGGCTCTGCATTTTAATTTAATTTTAAAGGAAGCTTCTTAAATATTTTAAAAACCTTGTTTACTTTATATACAACAGTAGTTTAGTTATATATTATAGACTTATAGAAAGATACCTTCTAAAAACGTTAAAATGTATTACTGGCACGCAAAACCTTAAATTAGAGTGAATAAATGAAGACTCGGCACACCACTTCTGAAAGGTTGCCGACCCCTGTCCTAATCACTCTGGTCTCCAGGCTGTCCCTGAACCTCCTCTAATGCAAAAATATCCTCTCCAGAGGGGATGATCAGAACCCCACACTAGGACAGTAAGCTCAAAGGCTCAAAGTGAAATTGACTAGAAACTGCCCAGTCCTTTTTCATTGTTCAAGGTCATTCAAATGTAACAAAGCGAACAATCCACAGAGAGTGAAATGTCACTTTGGATTTTAAAAACCCTTTCAGTTTTAATCATCTCAATATTATTAGCAATTTACAATGAGATTTCTTGTTTTAAAAAAAATATTTTAATATAACTGAATCGTAATTTTTTTAAAAAGAAAACTATTTAATCTCTCAAATCAGTGAAAGAATTTGTGCAGACCAAAAAAAAAAATCACAAGTGCATTTTAAAAAGCTTCCTGGAAAACCTGGCCTGGATTTTCAAAGTAACTTGTTATTTCCAAGAGCCCAATTGAAGATGCTTTAAGGGGCCTGATTTTCAGGGAGTGGAGTCACGCCCCTTTCAGGTCTCTCAAGCGGAGCTCCTGAAAACCAAAGCAGTCAAAATGAGTCGGCTCCCTTGAAAATCTTACCGTGAGTGTATTTAGAAAGCCTTCAGTTTCAGATCCTGTGTCCCCCTGTCACAACAAGCACCAGTGGTTAAATCTGCCCCCTTTGCACCAGTTGCAGAGGGTGAGGCCCTCCTGACCTCATATAGCAGAAGCATAGAATCTTGAACTTAGAAAATGGAAGATAAGTAACTGGTTTTAAAATATCAGAGGGGTCGCCGTGTTAGTCTGAATCTGTAAAAAGCAACAGAGGGTCCTGTGGCACCTTTGAGACTAACAGAAGTATTGGGAGCATAAGCTTTCGTGGGTAAGAACCT